GCAAACCCGTGCTTTGCCTGTGAAAGAGGACATGAGAACGCTCCTCCAAGGGTGCTGCGCCTCTTGCCACAAGAGCTCCAGCTGCTCGAGAGGGACGCTGCCCAACATGCAGAGCACGCGAGACGACTGTATTTTTGAGAGGTTGGCTCCCACTCCTCCAGCTGCCATGGCCACTCGTCTGGAGAGAGGCTTAACCACCTGCGTCACCAGCTCCATGACAATTTGCCACATCCCAGCGCAAGCAAGCGTTGTGCATAAAACGCAGTCGACCATGCTATGCGAGGCCCGGCGCTCTTGCGGCACTGCGAAGAAGTTCACTCTTTTCAAAGCCTGCTTGCACGCAACACCAAATTCCTCCAGCACTGCCGCATGCACAAGGGCAATTTTTGACGTAGAACAGCAAATAAAGGCTGATGGCTGCAAGCGAAGAGCAAGCACTGCCTCCTCACCCACCGTCAGCATGTCCCTATACTTTCCGTGGATAGTGTGCGTCAGGTCAACAAGATCCCAGGTGCCTACTGGTGTGAAAACCGGAAATTCCTGGCGGGCCAAGCTCTCGTAGAGCGTGAGCAATCCTCTGAAGCGCCCCACACATTCAACAGCTCCGTCGTCCATGCTTACGACAACAAAGCTGGCAATGTCGTGTGCATGACTGGCCTTGAAGTTTCGCTCGATATGTGTTGCGCGAGAGGGTAGCTCCAATTTCTCTCTGGCTAGCTGTCGTCGTGTGCCTTCAGACCTGTCGCTTGTCGCCGATTTTGTGCCCTGTCTGGTCGCTGATGAGGCCCGTGAGCGCAGCTCACCCGAGATTGTGCCGCCTTCAGACTCAGTGCTCTCCTCCTCCTCGTCTGCTTCAGCCTGAGTGTCAAATACGACGACGACTACTACTATTACTACTACTACTACTACTACTACTACTACTACTACTACTACTACTACTACTACTACTACTACTACTACTACTACAACTACAACTACAACTACAACTACAACTACTACTACTACTACTACTACTACTACTACTACTACTACTACTACTACTACTACTACTACTACTACTACTACTACTACTACTACTACTACTACTACTACTAACTACTACTACTACTACTACTACGACTACTACTACTTACTACTACTACTACTACTACTACTACTACTACTACTACTACTACTACTACTACTACTACTACTACTACTACTACTACTACTACTACTACTACTACTACTACTACTACTACTACTACTACCATTGCTACCACGAGTACTACTACCACTTCTCCCACTGCCCATCCGCCACGAACCTCGTCCTATTCATGCACTCCCCCTACACTCCTCCTGACGCTGCTGCTGCTCCTCATCATCGTCATCCGGCTCCTTCTCCAGCTCCACGTTCCGCCTCCTCCTCCACATCGTCCCCGATCGTGCTCATTCTCCACATTATATTCTTCCTCCTCCCGCTCATAGTCCTCCAGCTCCTGCTGCTCCTCTAGCTAATCCACCCTTTCGTCTTTATCCGCCTTCACATCATCATCATCATCATCATCATCATCATCATCATCATCATCATCATCATCATCATCATCATCGCTCTCCGTATCGCCCTCTTGCTCACCGTCATGGTCGCCCCCATCAGACGCACCGTTCCGTTAATTATCCCATCTTCCATAACAGCTGCATCCTCCATAACGGCTGCATCCTGCTGATTCTCCTCCATCGCAATTGCATCCTGTGTCTCTACGTCATTCGTCCACCGGCCCGATGTCGTCGTCCTCCTCCGATTCCTCCTCCTCGCTCCTCGTCGAGGTTCCTGTGATCCCGTCTTCTCCTCCTGCACTGACTACAACAACAACAACAACTACTACTACTACTACTACTACTACTACGACGACTACTACTACTACTACTACTACTACTACTACTACTACTACTACTACTAGGACTCGGAATAAGAGTACTACTACTACTACTACTACTACTACTACTACTACTACTACTACACTACCACTACTGTCACTACTGCAACTAAGACTGCAACTACTACTATTACTTGTACTACTACGACTACTACTACTACTACTACTACTACTACTACTACTACTACTACTATTACGACTACTACAACTACTACTACTACTACTACTACTACTACTACTACTACTTCTTCTACCACTACTACCACTACTACTACACTACTACAACTACTACTACTACTACCACCACTACTACAACTACTACTACTACTACTACTACTACTACTGCTACTGCTACTACGACTACGCCTGCTTCTACTACACATACGTCTACGACGACCACTACACATACGACTGCGACTACTATTATTCCTACTACTACTACTACTACTAATACTACTACTACGACGACTACTACTACTACTACTACTACTGGTGCTGCTACTACTACTACTACTACTACTCCCTGCGACTCGTCGTACGACTAGCACTAGTAGTAGTAGTAGTAGTAGTAGTAGTACTACTACTACTACTAACGACTACGACTACGACTACTACTACTACTACTACTACACTACTATACGACTACTACTACTATACTACCACTACTACTACTACTACCTACAATACGTCTACTACTATTATACTACTCTACTACTACTACTACTACTACTGCTACTGCTACTACCACTCCTACTACTACTACTACTAACCACTACCACTACCACTATACTACTACTACTATACTACTACTACTACTACTACGACTACTCTATACTACACTACTGCTACTACTACTCTACTACTACCACTACTACTACTAACTGCTACTACGACGACTACTACCACTACTACTACTACTACTACTACTACTACTACTACTACTACTACTGCTACTAATATTACTACCACTGCTACCACGAGTACTACTACTATTACTACGACTACTACTACCACTACTACTACTACTACTACTACTACTACTACTACTACGACTACTACTACTACTAATACTACTATTACTACTGCTACTACTACTACGAATACTACTACGACTGCTACTACTACAAAACCACTACTACTACTACAACTACTACTACTACTACGACTACGACTACGACTACTACTACTACTACTACTACTACTACTACTACTACTACTACTGCTACTGCTACTACTACTACTACTACCACTACTACCACTACTACTACCACTACTACCACTAACTCTGTACTACTACTACTACTACTACTACTAACACCACTACCACTACATAACCACTACCACCACTTAACCACTACCACCCACTACTACCAGTAAACTTACTACTACTACTACTACTACGCACTTAACTACTAACTACTACACTACACCACTACCACTACTCCTACTACTACTAATACTACTACTACTACTACTACTACTACTACTACTAGTTGCTACTACTACTACTATTCTACACTACTACTAACTACTACTACGGTACTACGATTTAGGACTACTACTCTAGCTACTACTACTCCTACTACTACTACCACTCCTACTATACGACTACGACTCCTCTACTACTACTACTCTATAACCCACGTACTACTACTACACTACTACTACTACTGCTACTACACTACTACTAACTCCTACTCTACTACTACTACGACTACTACTATCTACTAAACCACTGCCTCTACTACCTCCATTACTATCTCTCTTACTACTACTACTACTACTACTACTACTACTACTATCACTACTACTACTACTACTACTAGTACTACTACTACTACTACTACTACTACTATCACTACTACTACGACTACTACTACTACCACCACTACTACAACAACTACTACTACTACTACTACTACCACCACCACCACTACCACTACCACTGCTACTACTACTACTACTACTACTGCTGCTACTACTACTACTACTACTACTATTACTACTACTACTACTACTACTACTACTACTACTACTACTACTACTGCTGCTGCTGCTGCTGCTGCTACTACTACCACTACCACTACTACCATGACTACTACTCCTACTACCACGACTACGACTACTACTGCTACTAGCCACCAGCCCCCCCGTGCCCTATTCCGTCACCCACACATCCTCTTCCTCATTCGCCCTCGCCCCCCTCCCCCATGGACGGCGCCAACAGCGGCGCTGGCAACTGCAGCAGCGCGGGAGACGGCGGAGTGGGGCGAGGTTAATGGGAACAGGAGGGGGGAGGAAGGAACAGGACGAGGATCAGGAGGGGGGCGTCATCTTTTCTCTCGATGGGCGGACCCCGCTCCAGCCCAACTCCAGCACTTGAGCTTCGTGCAGAAGCCTCATGGCCTTGAGCACTTTCCACATGCCGAGAAACATGTCGTCGAAACGCTGCCAGCGCTGCCACTGGCAATGGCGCCGCGCCAGGCTGAGACCGTCCTCGTCGACGGCAGAGATCCCACGAATCGCCCTCTCGGCACGCTGCCACGCGCCGCCCATCGCTCGGGTGCCCGCCTGGACGCCATTGCCCTTGATCTTCACCACGGTCTCCCCCACGTAGATCGACCCCCCCATTCTTGTGGGAATGGTTGACCGAAGTGTGTTTCGTGCCAAACATGTAGTCGTGGGTGGTGGCGTAGACAGGAGCACCGCCCGCGTGCAAATCGCCCCCAGCGTGATTCCCCGCGATGGTCTGCCACGCCTTCTTGTCCAGCGGGGGCGGGCACGCTGCAGCTGACTTTTTCATTGTGATCGTTGATGTCTGCTCCACGAGAGCCAGAGACTTTCGGTTGCCCCTTTTCCACGAACCCTGGATTAACCCAGGAAGCACAGCGGCAAGAAGAGGAAAACCAGGAGGGGTAGCGATGGGGAGAGGGGGAGGAGGGGGAGGATGAGGAGGAAGAGGAAGAGGGGATACGTTTTCCTCTCGACGGTGGGCCCCCGCTCTTTCCCATCTCTGCAATCGAGCTTCGGCCCCCGCTCCTTCCCAACTCCTGCACTTGAGCTCCGCGCAGAAGTGCGAATAACTGCCCGCGCGTGCACTGGCAGACAACCGCCACCACTCACCGCTCACGCGTCGGCGTTGTCCATGCCACCACCGAAGCCGAACGCGTTCTCCTCCTCGGGGAACGCAGGGACAGGGAGGGCCATCTCATCCATGCTGTCCGCGACGATGCTGATGGAGCCCGACACTGTCGTCAGAGACGCGAAGAGCTTGCTCTTCTTCTTGATGAACTCTTGAAAGGTCTCGTCGTCCAGCTTCCTCTTGGCGGCAACGCGCGCGGGGGCAGCCGCAGGTCCTGGCCCCTCGCACAGGGCGCCGGCGCCGGTGCCCTCGGCGTCGACTGCCGCCTTGCGCTCGCCAATCCTCTTGTCCAAGACCCTGGACACCCAACGCTTCTCTTCAATGAGGTCGGCCTTGGAAGTGGGCGGCGGGTCCCTGTTGCCGCCCTTGAAGGCCAAGTAGAGGCGCTTCCCCGCGGGCGTGAGGTTGTCGCACCCGCTGCTGATTTCCGGTTCACACCTGCTGGGCGCCAGCACACGTGCGTCTTGCTGTTCGCGATGAAGGCAGCCCTTTTGAAGATGGACTCCAGCTCGGCGTCGGTGGTCTTGTCTGGAACGGCGGGGCGCACCATCTTTGCGAAGTCCTTGGACTCGATCTCTGACCACGCGTCCTCCTTGGGCTGGCACGTCGGGTCGTAGAACTGATCCGCGATGATGCGGGGCTGGTTCTGCGCCAACTTCGCCGCGCCCCACCTGGCCCATGATATGCTTTCGTAGAGGTCCACGTCGGTGAACGACTTGGGCACTTTCATCGAAAGAGCATGGCAACCGCCGTCGTCGAGAAAGCCCCCCATCAACGCGGATCCCTGCTCGCCTCTCAAGAAATCAATTTCCGCGGCGGTGCGAACGCGTGGCTCGACGTTCACGCCCAGGCGCTCTTTGTTCCACCGGCACTGGGCCATGATGATGGAACGCCGCATCGGGGACTTTCCAGTACCCGGCTCACCGAGCATGACGATGGCTGACACGTCGAAGTCCCACACCTGCTCCAAGATGTCGAAGACCCACGGCAGGTAGTACTTCCGTGTCCAGCACACGTGCCGCCCGTATTCTTTCATGGCGAAGCAACCGTCGGTGGCCAAATTGCGGAGCGTTTCCTGGACTAGCCCCGAGTGCCACCCGCAGATGGGGCTGCTTGTGCTGACGATGTTCTTCGTCCGCCACATGTTTATTGCTGCAGGTTGGAGCTGGACCTGGGGCCTTTGTCCTTGATATACTGGAAGCCTGCGTCGATGTCTTCCTCTGGCATGTCCTCGAACTTGGTGCCTCCGAACCCCCTCTTCGTGACCACCGCGCTCGTTTCTAGGCAGAAGCATTTGAATTGGCGGCCGCTAATGTTCTCGAACACCTGCTGGAAGATCTTTACGCCGATCTTTGGATGAGCCCATGTGAGCACGTGCGGCCGCCCGGAGCAATTGCTAGGCAAGTGCTTGGTGCTGATCATATCCTTGAACACAAAGTGCTTGATGATGCAGGTCTTCCCGTTGTCCTGTGGCAGAACGGTTATCTGAGTCTTCCCGCTTTTGAAATCCGCAGATTTGGAACCCAATTGCGGTGGCAAGGATGCCAACTCATTCTCCTGGAAGGCCTTGACGTACAGCGCCGGCAGCGCGTCGTAGTCGATCGCGCCCTCGTGGGCCACAAAGACATCGACAACGTGGGCGACCTTCGTCTCGGTCGCGCCGTTATGCTCGCGCATGGGTAGGTCGAGTGGCGACCAAGGGCCGCGTGGCGTGTTCGGCGTCACGATGGCCTTGCTGGAGAGACGACATATGTACCCGTCGGTCATCTGCTGCAGGTCGTCGCACCATGTCCTTGCTGGAGAGACGACATATGTACCCGTCTGGCTCTGCGAGGCGATGTCCTCAGCCATGGTGGCGCGCAGGCACGCGCAAACCGAACATAGGCGCGCCGTGAGCCTCAAACGGCGACGGGGGAGGGAGGAGGAGCAGGAGGAGGAGAAAAGGGAGGAGCAGGAGGAGAGAGGCCCTGACTACGACCGGCTTCCCGCTGCGCAGGAGCCCGCGGAGGCGAAAAAGAGGAGGAGAGAGGGAGAAAGAGGAAATGTATTGATCCCAACGGCCCTGGATTTATCCAGCGGGGAGAAGGGGAGCGCGTATAGGAGAGGACGAGGGGGGGGGGGGAGAATACCAAAAATACCTGGGAGGGGTATAACAAAATGCCAAGAAAGTATCAAAAATAAGTTGGCAGAGAAATATTTGGTCCCACCCCCCTCATGCGAAACCCGATCCCCCTCCTCCGAAATCTTCTCCCTCCTCGGAAGCCCTGCCCCTCCTCCGAAAAACAATCCTTACTCCGAAAACCTCTCCCTCCTCCGAAAACCTGCCCCTCCTTTGAACACCTCCCCCTCCTCCGAAGTCACCAATCTCCTCCGACCCCCCCCTTCCGAAAACCTCCCCCTCCCAGAAACTCCCCCCCTCCTCCGAAAACCTCACCCTCCTCC